CATAGCTGGCGGGTGGAGGAAGAGAAGAAGAGGAGTCATACCTTTCCCAAGGGAATTAGCACCTAAGTGAAAGTAATGGGACTCGACTGGAATTCGAACTCGGCTCTCCGATTCCTCAATCCGAGCCGCTATCTATTAGTAGTAGTAGTAAGTAACAAAATGATTTTCGCTTTTTAATTAACTTTTTTTTTTTAATCATTTCACCCCAAGCAAGGCGATAGTGCGACTAAGTCACAATGGGCTTACTGATGACGAAAGACAACAGAGTGAAGGAGATAGAGAAAATATTATTTGAGGGAAAAGTACAAAAATAAAAAAAAAAGAATTAAAGAACACAGAAGATGTCGATTGATCTTGTATTTAAATTTGTGAAGATCGTAGTTGACAAGAAGCTGGAAGGGAGAGAGAAGAAACTATTAGCATAGAACTTACGGTTACGTCTTGCAATTTCAACAATAAAAAGATGAGACCAAGCTGTGAATCTAGTATTGCACTTTAGTTCATAAAGTCGGGTCACCAAAGAGGAAAACTCATCAGCATAATTAAAATTGTAAAATAGATTATAATATAAAAATAGCAAATAAATAGCAAAATTGTAAAATAATAATGTAATGCTCTAAGTATAGTTGTGGCACTTTGGGACATCCATACCGAAGTGTATGATGCGTGATTTTATCTCAGTCATAAGTGTTTCGCGTTTTATGATCAGCGATAACGTTTATGAGAAATGTATTTGAGACAAGTTTAGAGTCTTCTTTCCCGCTCGTGGCGTTTATTTTCATTTTTCGTTTCTTTGTGAGCGTGCAACGCATCCTTTCCTAGTTCCTGGGTGCACACTGACACGAACGAGAATAGAGACGCAACGCCGTGTTTCATTGTCCGGTCGGAGAAAATCTGACAGAGGATGCCGTTTGTGTTTTTACATAAAATCTTTCAAAATGAAAAAAAAAATAATGAATTGTGTAAGTACAGAGAGGAGTGTATACTTGTGATGATTACGCAAAAAGCCGAAATCTTCGCTCTGTTATGTGTGCGTAGCTTAATGTAGCGGAAAGAATAAGCTGTCAGTCAGTCAGTCAGTTAAATATCAACGCAAATATAGCTAATGAAAATTAAGCCCGAAATATGTTGTGTTTAGTTTTTCGTAGCATTGTGTTTTCGAAATAGAAATCGTGCAAACTGATTTACGAAAAATATTTTTAAGCTAGTGATAACTTATTGTTGTAACCAAGGAATGGTTACTGAATGAGGAATAACCAAAGCGAACGTTGGAAATGAAATGGTAATCTTTAAACCATCAACAGAATACAATACTCGCCAGCGGCGTGAAGTAGGTAAACCACTACTAGTGGTGGACTACTTTGCATATTACCTCAACTTACAGTAATGTCTAACGTATTTATGAAAATTGAGATATACCCATTAGTATTCATAGGTACGGTATATAACACTATCCTAATATCAATTTATCTGTCTATCTATCCATTTCCGTCTGTTCACTTTTCACCCTCTTTCATTCTTTTTTTTTCTCAGTATGCCCATATCTATCTATCTATCTATCTATCTATCTATCTATCTATCTATCTATTATTTTATTTTATTATTGATTTATCAATGGATTTATCAGTTTGTACATCCATATTTCAGAAATTCTGCATCGACATACATATATAAAAATTGCTGTAACCTAGATAGTGTTACTGAATGAGGAATAACCAAAACGGAGTTTAACAATGAAATGGTAATCTTTATAACATCAACAAAATACTATACTCGCAGCGGCGGGAATTAGCTAAACCACTGGTAGTGGTAGACTATTTACACATCATATAACCCCCACTTACTATAGTGTCCAACGTATTTATGAGGATTGGGACATACCTATTAGTGTTAATAGGTAAGTTACATAGCCCTTTTACAAAAGGAACTTTAGTACTCGATAAGTTTTTTTAAGGAGTCGAAAGTTGAGATATCAGTATTCACATGCCGGTCTCAGTACATTTAAGACTAGTTTATTTATTCAAGCTAAGCTGTTTATAAGAAAATTTCAGATCACAGGAAGCTAAAAGATAGATTTATTAAATTCAGGAATTTTATCGGCTAATATATTTCCCAATTTTTAATATTTTATATCAGGAGGGAAAAGATAGTTATTTTCCTTGATGTGATCCTTCAATTTTTGAGCGTATGACACAGCAATGGCCGTTTGCTTTTTCAAAGCATTTGATCTGTGTCTCAAGCAACCTCCCTGATTCATCAACAAATGTTAATGTGGACCGTGATCCTATTCTTGCATACAGAACTCTCTGTGTGATGCTAATTTCGCACAGAATTATACTATTTAAATCTCTTGATTTTTTTTTTTTTTTTTTTACAATTTTTTATCAGGGTTCTACATATCAATGCTCTTGCTTGGCAGTGAATGCTGGATAATCCTCATCACCACAGATAAAGAGGAAGCTGGAGGTAATAGAAATGTCCTGGGGAAAGCAGAGAACTACCTATCCGAAGAGATTATGTGAATGGATAACAGAACGGAAGTGGGCAGCTTGTTAAAACAAAGAACGCTGCTCAGGGCCACGGGGGATAGGAAGTCGGGAAGAGTCATGATCGCTCAATCCCTGAAGGGACATGACACGGAGAAGTAGAAAAAGATGTTGAAGAAGAAGGTATTCCCAGTATTTACATGAGTCGGACTATTGTCCTCATCTTTGTCGCCATATTTGTCACAATGTTTCGGCCGTTGTACGCTCCGGCCTTCTTCAGGTGGTTGGAATTTCGAATTGAACCCTTTATTTCGATCACTGGGGTAGACTGTTCTAGTTCCACGTGCCATGTTTGATGGATGTCATTTATCAGTTATCTCCTGCTAATTTTCCCTCTGAAAGTTCTCCACTGCCTTAACCAGGTATTGAACCCACCTTCTTTGGGTCTGTCACTGGATCTAACCAACGCCTTTATACACCGTGCCATGTGTCCTTGAGGACATCTGGGTATGAACTTCTGAGTATTATAAACCTAATGTTTTCAGCATCATTTTTACGAGTGCTCATATTGCAATTTTGCTGTTGTCATTGCATGTCTTTACCAGAGTTCATATTGCAACTTTGTTATCATTGCTTTTCTCTGGCACTCCTTATTACTGGTTCCCATATTGTATTTATTTCTATGCTATAATCTACTGAGCCGACCAAGGCTCAGGAGATTTTTGTGGCCTAGCATATGTGCTGATTCCTTAAGTTTACGGATTTTCCAATGGTGTTCCCTGTCTATGATCTCAACATGATCCCACAGGGGGCGGTGATCTCCCTTCTCTCTCCATATGTGGTCAGCTACGCCTGATTTTTCTACTTCCCCTCGTGTTACCTTGAGGGGGCGGCCTGTCTCTCCTTCATATTCCTTTCCGCAGCTGCACGGGATAGCGTACACACAGTCTTTAGTCATGTTCCTCTCTGTGGGGGGTCTCACTCGTGAGAGATATCTGCGAAGTGTTGTCACGCTTTTGAAGGTTGTCCTGATGTTATATGCACCGCAGATCCTTTGTATTTTCTCTGATAACCCCTTCACATAAGGCAGGCAGACTGTTTTCTGAATGTTGTTGTCCTCCTCCTCCTCCTCCTCCTCCTCCTCTTGTACCCGCCTATCCCAGTTTTTGGAGGCTGCTGCCATGTACCCAGGGTAGCTGTTACGTTGTAGGGTACTACTTATACTGACCAATTTTTATCTAACGTCTCTGGATCGCCACTTATGACTTTTTGCTCGGTGTTGTAAGCATCGGACGATCCCTTTCTTTACGCTGTATGGATGGTGGGAGTCGAAATTGAGGTACTGTCCGGTGAATGTTGGTTTACGGTATACGGATGTCATGAACCCATGCTCTGTTCGAGATATTAGTACATCCAGGAATGGGGAGTGAGTTGTTACTCTTTCTCCATTGTGAACTGTATCGAAGGTCTTATTGAGTTCACATGGTCCAGTAGAACCTGGACATCTTCCTGATGTGGCCAGAGTATGAAGGTGTCATCTACGTACCTTAACCATAGAGTTGGCTTTAGCGATATAGACTCTAATGCCATTTCTTCAAAGTATTCCATGTATATATTCGCCATTCCCCTTTATATATTCAGCTTGTAGCTTCAATGACTTTGAAATGTAGTCGAAAATAAGGTCTCAAAATTGTATCCACCATTTTTACATGAAAAAAAAAACATTTATGTAAATAGTAATGATAATGATACTTCGTACTTTTGTTCTCACAATAAGTGGCCCAAGAGCCACACAAGGTAGAAGACTACCAAATGAGGTTTTTATAAGGACGTAAAGAGAGAAATATTTTTAGGATAGATAACGGTTGAATTTAAACTTGCATATAAAACTTGAAGAAATGTTTGTAGTTATCGGGGATGCACCCTCTCGGGGGTCTGTTCTACAATGTAACAATTATGGAGAAAAAGCTCTCTGGATGGAAATTCTTCCTTCCCAATGGAATATGAAAGTAATATGAATGACTCAAATCTGTGTACGTGGCATGGCAAGATCTAGCCGTGAAGGCCTGAACTGATGGAGCTAAGAAATGTAGTTCCTCTAGACATTTCCCAAATAGCAACAGAGTAGAGAGAAGTTAGCAACATGTCGTCTGTGGGAAAGGAGTTTCAGGTTGGAATATATATATATATATATATATATATATATATATTGTCATTCACATACGACCGGTTGACTCTCGCTAAGTTCGAAACCCGTCTGAATTGGCGTCTGTCGGAGATTCATGTAGTAGGCTGGGGTTACTTTCTGCCGTATACGGGTTACCAACCAAGGCTATAAGACCTAGTATATACCGTTATTTAACCCGTAGCTGGAGGGAGAGATGAAATGGATTCGTATCTTTCCCAAAGGCAATTTGCACGTAAGTGAATGAAACAAACTTATCTGGAATTTGAACTCGGCTCTCCGATTTCTCATTCTCTGCCCTTATACCTTACATCACCTGCACTTACAAGATTACAGTACCTGGTATTCGCAAGCTGTTGCTCATATAAGTACTGACCAGCCTCAGTATTCTTAACTTCGGTGATCGGGCGCGAACTGGTGTGTCAACGTGATATGTCCGAAATTCTTTAGTATGTTAGTTAAGTATAATTAATCAGATAGCTTTAGATCTACCATTTGTCGGTGGATGGAATATGGCTGCCATATTTGGTCTGGTGCTCCTGCTATATATAAATGTATCTTGACTTTATCGACAAAAATCCAAAGGGTCTGTAATGCAATCTCTCCCGACTTCAGTCATATTCCCATCGCCGTCACATAGCTTGCCTCTGTCTTTTCTATATATATTTGTATGGCAATTCTTCTAATTGTTCTTAGTACCTGTACAGCAGCGGTCTTCAACGACCTGGCCGCGGACCGGTACCGGGCCGTGGACTATTCGGTACCGGGCCGTGTACCATTCGGTACGGGGCCGTGGACCATTCGATACGGGGCCGTGGACCATTCGGTACGGGGTCGTGGACTATTCGTTACCAGGCCGTGGGCCATTCTTTACTGGGCCGGGGGCTATTCGGTACCGGGTTGTGGGCCATTCGGTACCGGGCCGTGGACCATTCGTTACGGGGCCGTGGACCATTCGGTACGGGGCCGTGGCACATTCGGTACCAGGCCGTTGACCATTCTGTACCGGGCCGCACAGAAAGAATAAAAATATTTGTTTCTATTTTGTTGACTATCACGGTCTTATATATTGTGTTATGCGCGTGACCGACACCGACAGAGAACCCTACCCGTCCGTGAAAAGAATGCCTTGCAAGATATCGGTCCGTGACACAAAAAGACTGGGGAAAAGGATGAAAATAGGCTTTACAGCATGAATTTAAGCGCCGTACTAGATTGGCAAGTAGGTCTCATCGTTTTACTGTTTAATTAGCTAGATGTAACCGCGAGTTAGAATAGAACTTTCTTTCCTCGTGCCTCTCGCCCGTAGAATTCTCTTCCGTTTTCTTGCTTTCCTGCTACCTAAGGTCTTCAAAAAATTAAATGCAATGTCAGTCACCATCTTTTATCTTTCTGAGTGCTATTCTTTATTGTCCTTTCTCCTCACGTCTACTCACTAAATTCTTCCCATTCTCATTCGCTCTCTGTAACCCCTTGCATCCTAGTGGCATTATCGTCTTGCTTGGGGTGAAATGATTAATAAAACGGTTAGTTCGAGGGTAATTACTGCAAAAACATAAAACAGTATGAATTTGCAACAAATATGGATAAGAATCCGAAAGAATTGTAGAATAAGAAACAAATAAAAACGTTTATAAATTTAACATACCATATATACTTGTGGATATAATTAATAATTGATGATTTACTGTTGACTCACAGATAGGTCGCACTATAATCTGGGGAGTTACACAGCCCCTTTTTAAACGTAAGAATTATCAGATATCTACCTTTATGTCTACCTTTATTTCAAAACTTACAATTATTAATAAGACACTTTTGCAGATAAAATACAAAATAGTGCAAATGATTTGGTTACTAGATTCATGCGCTTTGTTATTTGTAAATAACATTTAAGAACACCTTTTAATGTTCTATGAAACAACCATTAAAGAAAATTATCTTATAAAGAATAAATTTCATTTTTAAGTCATATTTTCCAACATATTTTTGACAAAATATATATATTTTGCAGAATGAATTGTGGGACTATGTTTTCTTTGTCAATAAACATCTACACATGGTTTGTTAACTTATGTATGCATGTTCAGGGTTTCTATATCGGTCTAGTGCAAGGGCCCCGACCGATCAATGAATATTTTATAATTTTATTTATTTATTGTGATGGATATGGGAATCTAGCAGCATGATGTAAGTTTAAAGCAGTGAGTCAGTATATATAATAGATAAATTGTTTCTATACAGAGAATAGCTTCATGTCTCGCACCTCTCGCCTGTGGAACTCCCTTCCCTATTCCTGTTTCCCTGTGAGCTATAATCTCCAGCTATTCAAGTGTAATGTCACTCGACATCTCCAGTTGCCTTGATCTATCCACTATCCTCATCCTTTTTTCTATCACTCCTAATCTGATCTTGGTCTATATTTTCTGTAACCCCTTGCGTCCTAGTGGCCTCCCGCCTTGCTTGGGGTGAAATGCTTAAAAAACAAAACAAAAAAAAACACTGCTTTATTGTTTATGGGTATCATTTCCGATTTCTCAGAAATCATGATGACAAGATAGTGTTGTTTTACATTTACGTCTAGCAGATAGGTCGCACCCCTTATATTTTGTGAAATTTTTGGCAAAAAAGAGCGACCTATCCGCGAATATATACGGTATGTCGTTTTTTTGTAAGTTTCATCAGAATTTTTTACATGAATTACGGAAGAGAAATATCAAGTACAATTATTTTTCCTTGGTTAGGTAGACCTCACGTGTCCGTCCTGGGTATGACGATAAACTACATCCGCGTCCTGGGTAAGACGGTAACCTACGTCCAACAGCAAGGCCTCCGATGAGATTTTGAGGAGCGTGGAACCGCCTCTTAATTACTGGTGTTCCCAGGTCCACCCTGACACAGGGTGGTAACACCTGTTAGGGTTCCAGCTATGGGCAAATAGTTAACCCCAAAACTTGAAAGTGTAAAAATAGGGTTTAATACCAGAGATATTTAAAAAAAAAAATTATCATTATATATTTTGAAAAAATTATTAAAAAAAAAATTATTAATTATACAAAAAAATTAAAAAAATTATTAATTATACATTTTGGACAAAAATATTACCAGCAAAGGAAAATTATATATTTTTGAAGGAAAAAACATTTTGAATTATATATTTTTGAAGGAAAAATATGACCAGAAATAGAATTTTGGAAAAAAAATATTACCAAGAATGAAAATTTTGTCGGCATTAAATAACCCATTGAAGTTGATATGCAGTAAAACAAAACAAACCAACCCCCCGTGTCTTTGTCTTGTAGTGTCAATGTGTGTGTGTGTGTGTGTGTGTGTGTGTGTGTGTGTACGTTTGGATTCTGGTTGGAATTTTTGTGACAGTCTGGTAATGTTTATGCATATAATTCCTGAAAATGGTAGTGAGGTGTCGGCGTGTTTGTGTATCATATTTCTAGTTGATCTTGAGGGCCTTTGGTGATAATGTGTTTGCGTACACCTGAAAGCACATTTACATAATTTTGTACACATTATTTTTTTCTTGTTATTTTTATTTATTTATTTATTTTTACTTTGTTAGATGCGTTGAATAAATGCTTTCTTCATTATAAACCTAACCTGTGGCCATATTAAATTCATATTTGTATATGTGAGCACGCGCGCGCGTGTGTGTGTGTCTTTCATTATTGGGACAACTCGCCATGGTTTCGTGCCTGGGTTATAACCAGCAGTGCAAAGTAAACGAAAAAAAAAAACCCAAGTTGAAACTTGAACTCAGCTTGCCGATAGCATTTTCTGTGCAGATAACCGTTACTGAACATCTTTTTAAGTTTATTTGTCATTCAAGTGTTGTATGTCGTGGTGCTGCATTACCTTTTATTACCGTCCTTCTCCTTTGTGAAATGACTCACTGTCAGTTTGTTGACTTCATCATTACGCTTATTTACACTTTGGGTGGATACATAAGAATAAAGATAAGTGATGTCATAAAAAATGCGATGAAAGGACAAAACGCTGTCACCGAGCAAGTGACTTCAGGTGGTCTTCTGGTTTTTATTTAATTATTAATTGGTTCGCTGTTGATTTTATAATAGCGTTGCTTTTTGGTTTACGCCCCAAGGGAATTCTGGAAATGTTTCTAATGTTTTCAGGATGATGAACTTCATGCCACTGTTAAAATTATATATATATATTTATATATATTACGTTATTTAAAAATCGAGAACTGAAAAGGAACAAGATTAAATAAAAATAAATGAAATAAAATAAATAAACAAAAATAATAAACTAATCTAAACAAATAAATAAGTAAATAAACTAAATAAATAATAAACAAATAAACAAACCACGTACGCACAGATATCAAGAAAACGTAGTAATAAAAACCAACGATAAAATAATAATAAATAAATAAAAAAGTTAAGTAACAACACTATAAATATCCCCAAAACTGCATTCGGATCCACAATTATTTCCACTCAATAGCCCCCAGCATAATTCGAAACGCAACCGTTGCCGCCCACCAAAATAACCGTTAGAATAATACAATGTAATGCAATAGGCAACGCACAATGCATCACTGACCTGTATATATAAATAGTCAAGTAAAACAGCGCACATGGCCTAACGGTTTTTCCAAAAAAATAAATAAAAAAGATAGATAAAATTATTGTACTCAGCTTTGCACCCTAGTATAACCAACCGTGTCCGCTTATTTAGCTATGCTTCTCCCCAAAACTTGATTTCGAACAGTCAAGAATGACTTTTAATGCGTGTGATGGACGGACTAACGGAAGTCTCATAATTTTATATATAGACTAGCAGCATGGCCCGGCGTTGCCCGTGCTTGATTCAAAAATCGTATAACTCATACAGCAATCGCTATCACTTGACTTCAAATATTTTTGCCCTTCCTTGCCTTTAAAGGAGTGCCCTTTGCCGTGCTGATGTTGCTACATGCCTTACTTCTTGCCTATCTCACACTGGAGAATTTTCTAAGCTCTATACTAAACATTAAATCTGTTACGAAAAAAAAGAACTAAACAAAATGAACACAAAACGATCAGTTTTTTAAAAAGGACTCGTAACTGGAAAAACTGAATGAAAAAAGAATGTTAACAACAAATACTTTTTCACACCCAGCCCAGTTCTGCGGAATTAGAATCAACGTTGAGTATAAGCAAGCGAATGAGCCAATTGAAGTAAAGTGCCATGCAGATTTAAATTTTTCCCACTTGTGACGAATGCAGCTATCGATGTTTTTTGCATGCTAGCATGCTAGTTAACATTCGTGTCAGTCAGCTGTTGGCTCTCACGCTGGCCAATAGAATCTTCCTGCCTATTCGTGGCAGCCAGCTATAGGCTCTCACTCTGGCCAGTAGAAAATGGCCGCAAACTACATGAAAAGTGCCGTAGAAGCATGACAAAATCGATTATTTCCACTAT